GAGACCGCCGGGACAGTGCAGGCCCCTATTGCGGCCAGAAACTACTAACACCAAACACGCGACTCTGGGGCCATCTCAACCCTGGGGACTCATTTCCAACCAGGGACAAGACCGGGGCACGCGACTTACCTTTATTGGGGCTCGTGCAAAAATGAGGGACCCTTTGCCAGTCAGTGACTCACAGTGCCTTACAGGGGCCCCTGCGTCAGCTAGGAGTCCCGGACTCCCGAGTCGGCTTGGGGAACATTTGCTGCACGAGGACTAGACCCGAACGCCAGAGGGTCCCTTGCGCAGGTCGAGGCACTCTGACAATGAAATATTACATACAAGCTTATAATAAGAGGACATAATGAGGCAGCGAAAGGGCCCTGTCTCAGCCAGGACCTCCAGCACAAATAGGGGGCGCTCCACCCCATTTCAGCCAAGGTCCCGTCAAGCCGAACTGGAGTCTCTGTGCCAATTTTTTGGGCCACCTGCGGCGCTAAGAGATCTTGTTGCGTCAATGAGGGCTCCTGCATCGATCTGCAGCCTACTGCCCAGACCAGAGGGCGTCTCGCGTCAGGGGAAGGGACCAGTGACCAGTGTATGATGCATCCAGATCGAACAGGAAACCCCGCCCCGTGTCCCTAGAATGGTAGACGGTAGGCAGCCCGCGCTGGGATGGGATAGCCTTTCAGGCCTTGACCGGGCGCGCTAGTGTGCCCCTTAGTGTTGCACCCACCGGGCCCCTTTCCCAGAAAGGACCCCTTTCCCGAAAAGAGATAACGGGCTTCATTAGTGCTTAACAGTGGATGAGAATGAGATCAAGTTTAAAAAAGACGGCCAGCCCGTGCTTCCCGGAGAACGAGCGTCCACTCTACCACTCATAGCTCATGAAATTCATAACTCATGAAAAGTTGAAATGTGGATAAAAGCCTTCAAAATGGTTGCATTTACTGTGCAGCGTCAAGGGCTAGTTAACTGTTTTCCAGAACTGGAGAACCAACTGGCAGGTGACACAAAACTTGGGGACCCCCCCCCCCCCCCCCCCTATCATGAGGTACCAATGACTCCCGGTTCCTACATCGCTGCCTTGCTGGTCGTCCCTCTCCCCAACCCCACCAACTCTTCGTCACCGTCACCACCAGCCCAGAGCCGCCGTCCCCAGCCATTGCCATCCCTCGGCTCCCTCAGCGCCCACTCACTGGCCACGTTGGCCACGAAGTCGGGATTGAAGCCCTGCGGGAAGTGGCGCTCGCAAAGCGTGCGGCAGCGCTGTTCGGCCTCCAGATAGCTGTCGAGCGCATCCTCCATGAAGCGCACCACCTGCTCGAAGCGGCCCGACTCGTAGGCGTCGTTGCCTCGTAGGTACAGCTCGGTGTGCTCCTGGAGGCACGTGCGAGCCACGGTCAGACCGAGACGGAGCCTGGACGATGGCCAACGCCGCACTGTGCTCGGCAAGCACAAAACGCGACGCCAGGGGTTTGCAAACTCGCAGTGCCTACCATCCTGAGTATCTGTTTTCTTTCCTTTTTTGACGCGTGATGGAGACTCCGTAGATATTGCCAAAACTGAACAATTGTTAGTGTTGCGCTCGTTCCCGTATATCGCGGTCCTGAACGACACCCGAGCCACGACACAGTGTCGGAAATGGAAACATGAGTAGCAGTAAAAATGTTTTGTCTACACACACACACACACACACACACACACACACACACACACACACACACACACACACACACACACACACACACACACACACACACACACACACACACACACGCACGCACGCACGCACGCACGCACACGCGCACGCACGCACGCACGCACGCACGCACGCACGCACGCACGCACACACACACACACACACACACACACACACACACACACACACACACACACACACATTTCACGTTTCATCGTGGTTGCTTCAACGGAGTGGGGAAACTGTAACCAACCTGTCTCTCCATGCTGACGATGTTGGCGTTGTCAACCTCGTCCATGGTGGTATAGTACTTAAAGTTCTCGCGCATGATCTCGCTATTCGGAGAGTGCTGAAGAACAGTGAACACCGCATCGGCCGCTTTCTGTACCTCGCCGGTCTGAAACACATGACACGACATGAATAAGACAGAGACGCTACTTATACGACATGAAAAGACATGGGGCAGAACCGTTGTGTATCCTATGTGTTCCGTGGTCCACCTCTCGCGTACTACAACGTCTTGTTTTGTCAAATAGCATGGTCACATGGCTGCGATGCCTCTTCTCTTTCGTGCGAAAGCATAATGACTTCTTGAGGAGCCCATGCTCTTGGACCAACCACTTGTTATAGCGGCTTTCGGTAAAAGAAGACGACACGATAATAACGAATCAACAGCACGAGTGTGCGGCTGAAGTCGCACAGGAACAGTCACGACTTGCTCTTGGTCGCCATCCAACACGGATCATCGGCTAAGACCGTTCAGAGATGCCACTAATACGCATTGTTGTGTGTAGGACCACCATTCGAATAACAGGCACTCATAGTTGCATGCATAATTAACGGGGCTTAACTTCAAGGCCACGCACTTCAACGAACTTCCATTGGGGTTGTCTTTGTCCATTGATACCTAGCTGTATTGCCTGGCCGCCGTGTGTAGCGCACGTTCATACCAGTTTCAGCACGTCGCAATGTTTTGAACAGCACAGATCCGTGTCACAGAGGTAGCTGTGTACAGATGTGCGTGTTATGGAGGTAGCTGTGTTCACAGTTGCGTGCTATGGAGGTAGCTGTGTACACAGGTGCGTGCTACGGAGGTAGCTGCCTATACATAATAGATCAGCGTTACGTGCGCACACACACACACACACACACACACACACACACACACACACACACACACACACACACACACACACACACACACACACACGCGCGCGCGCGCGCGCGCGCGCGCACGCACGCACGCACGCACGCACGCACGCACGCACGCACGCACGCACGCACGCACGCACGCACGCACGCACGCACGCACGCACACACACACACATCACCGACTGGTGAGACGCCCTACTGAATGTCGGTAGCACATGCCATGATTTCGAATAGCACCAGAACAGCATGTGTCAGCATCTCAGTTCGCCCGGTCTTCCAGCACCCATCCACACACGTGTGGTTCCGCTGTGGCCAGTTGCATGCTCTGCTGCTAGTGCTATGAGCTGTGCGAATCCTGCCCTCTGATTCATGTGTCCACCCGGGCACCACCTGGAGGGCCGTCTCCGGCTGACCCGCGCGGCGTGCAGGGGCCGCCTCGCCGACCATCGGCCTGCAGGCCGGGCACAACGGAGACTTGGTGTTCCGGTCCCCGGGCCAGGGCCCCGGCTGAGCTGACAATGAGTCGTACGCAGGGGGATGAGAGGCCTTAAAGGCGTCCCTGATGTGCGACAGGGGCTGGTTCGGCATTTGTTGCCTGGTGTCTCACGGGTTTTCAAGCTGCAGTCCGCCGGCAGGGTGCGACGTCAGTGATTTTATCAGCTACGTACACCGTGTAATAGACCGGACTTAACTGCACCTCCTTCCTGTTAAGCTTTCGCCATAGTGCTCTGCAGCCTAAATGGGACCTCACCGCCAGACTTTTGGGGTCAGAGTTCATGCAACAAGCGATGCTCAGCGTGGCACTGTAACCGAGAAATATGTCCAATGAAAAGGTTCCGACTAAATCTTCATCAACAAAAAGTTTCGCTCGTCCGGCGAAAAAAACACGTTCAACACGCGTCTTCCGGCCTTCGGGGGCTTCCGGGCTCAATCCGTCCATTTCAGTCCAGTCTCACCACAGACACGACGTAGGGGGGGGGGGGGGGGGCGGAGCGTGCCCCTTGAGCCAAGAGGCTTACGCCTACTATTGGGTTGTTTGCAGGGAATCGGTTCAATTTCGCAGGAGGTCGGACAAAATTCGACATTTGCCACTCAGCCTGAGGGGAACGTCGGCTACGCGCCCGTTTCAGCTGTGCACACAGTCGGCGGGTCCCGGCCTTCCAGGCCGTCGGCCGCCGGTGTCATGTCCCGCGGGCGGCCCGCTCGCTCCGCCTGCCCGCCACGGAAATAAACAGATGACCGCCGCCGTGCCCTGGCCTCCCCACCGCGGGCGGGACGGGGGCGGGGGCAGGCAAGCGCGGCGGTGCAGGCTGCAGACACGTCGCTCCCGCGGCGGCCAGCCAGATGTGGCCCACGTGCGCCGGCGCGGCAGGATGGCGCCAGCCGGCTGACTGCACTGACGAGACGGGGGCGTTTCTAGCCCACGGGGCGGATGATGCCACAGACAGGGACCGAAAATCTTCAGGACACTTTTGTGCGTGATTCAATGAATGATTTTGCGTGGCCAGTGATTCTGCGTGACACAAACTCCGACACATTGTCCCACTGCTCGACATCCCAGCGCGTTCTTCACGAACCGACCGGGTAAGCGGGGTGCACGTTCCATGCTAGACCCGAGAGTTGCACCTGCCTTGTAGTAGCAAAGCTGCAGGTACTCGTAAGGCTTGCGGGTGCGGAACTCCTCGTCGGCCCAGGCCGAGTCGTAGAACTCCTGCAGGTGGTTGCCGAGCCGCTGCCGCTGACACTGCACCAGGCAGCGGGTCTGGCGGATGAGCCGCTCGAATACGCGCAGCTCGTCCGGCTGCTGGTCGTCTAACATGAGCGTCTCCCGGCCGGCCTCCTCCCGGCACCGGTCGCGGCAGTCCAGCAGCAGCTGCTCGTACGCTCGCTGGCTCTGCAGCGCCTCCAGCAACAGGTTCACGCACGACTGGTAGTCCTCCTCCAGATAGGCATCCTTGCCCAGCTGGAAGAGTTCGCCGTACGCATGCGGGCCGCCGCCGACGGCGACGCCGCGGCCGGTCAGCGCGAGCACTGTCAGTGCGAGCACCGCACAGCGCGCCACCCTAGACACTTCCATCACACGCCCCGCCCGGATCGCGTGTGCTCGCTGCACAGTCAGCTGCAGCAGCGGGGAGGCGCCGTGCCGTTACCGCACGTGCCCCGCCCGGCTCGTGCGCTCCCTGCACAGTCGGCTGCAGCAGCGGGGAACGCCGTGCTGGTACCACGCACCCCCCACCCGGCTCGTGCGCGCGCACTGCTCTGAACGCGCGCCGCCGCCACTGTCGACGGGCCAACACCCATGCTCCCCTCCCCCCGGCCCCGCCACCGCTGATAGCGCCGCTAGATGGTGTGCGATGCCATGACGTCACCAGTTGCCGTAGATAGCGACGCTACCGCCGCGGAGGGTGCTGCAACACTTCCACTAAGGATTCTGACCGATAGGTGGTGTGCTTGTGCCGTTTGTCGCCTGTTGGTGGCTGCTCATGCTTCGACGCGTTTGCGCGGCACGGATTGGTGTGTGTTTAGCACGATGGGTGCAGGATGCTCCAGAGCCGACAAGTCAGGCATCGAAGCAAAATATCTGCAGAACAGGGAGAACCCGGATCTGACTGCAACGTTTGGCGTGTTAGGCATTGCTGTTGGGGAGGCCCGTCTTGCCGACTTACAACACCAGCCATCCGCCATCCTTTCCTCGCTCACTGCGTCTTCCTAAATTTTTGCCATGCGCCTCCCAACGTCATGGATGATTGCCCTCGTTCTTGGCCATAAGAAACGTCGAATATTTTCATAGCGCGGTATACATATATATTATCTTATATTTGTATACATGTTTATACATATTATGTATATATATATATATATATATATATATATATATATATATAATATATGATATAATATATATGCCCTAATGATGCTGCTGCCATTCAACCAGCTCCCCGTGTTTCATCGTAGGCCAATTGTTTTCAACAAACGAACTAATAAGGCCACTCTCTCATACCCTCTTGACGTCTCGTTCCACCGGGGCAGCACGCGGCCGTCGTCGTCGAGCCGACTGAAGTGGCGTCAGCTCCACCAGAGGGCGCGTGCAGACCACAAGCAAGGACCCCCGTGCGGGTATGGCTTGCTAGCGGATGCCTTCCACAATGATGGCAGTATTGTCCCGCTTCTTACCGTTCTCTTTGATCCCGTACGCCTCAGATAACCATGACTAGCCGGAAACGGAGCCAATCCGAAACAAACTAAGCCAAAGTAGGGTTATTGGCAGCCTACCTGCCTCGAGAGGTGCAGAAATGTTCCCAAATATCCTGAAACGTATAATTGGCATTGCGCCACCCGCGTCATAGCAAACTAAGGTGATAAACCTGAAACGTGGGCGCGGTGCGAAGCTTCATACAGTTTCCCTGTACCGAACAGCAAAGAGCAGCAGCTTCCGAAATGAAGGCTGTGCGCTGTTTTTCACATCAAAGGTCCACCTATGTTTAACATCTACGTTGTCAGATTTTGCGATGTGAACGTCTGGCTAATGGATGCAAATAAGTTTTTGGTTAAAAATCTGCCGACGACTTTGGGTGTAGGTGTGGCAACATATGCCCGTTAACACGCGTTCGGGTGAGGGGTTAAATTGGCCCCCCGAAGGTTTTTCTCAGAATGGTTTCGGAACGGCGTGGCGCAGCCGCGGCAAATTTTGCATAGCGTAAGTCAAGTAAATAGCAGATTGTTTGGCATCAAAATTTAAATGTACCTTGTAAGGACGCTTACCTACGGCAGGTCAAAGTCAGGCCATGGATTCTGCGAAGTCAATTTCTAGGGAATCGTTCAGTTTTATGCAACAACGGAATGTTAGACGAGACCGTACATGTCTGAGATACTTTCTCAGACAGCACAACAGTTGAATGAACAAATTTCATTGACCTACGGTCAGTTTTGAAAGTCTGACCAAGGTCAAAGCCAATCTGTTTGATTACTCTAGGGCTTGCTATGCGAGGTAGTTTCTGGTTCTCATTTCTAAATTATTGATTACGGGAACCGCATCATGCATCTTCCATGCACCTCTCAAAGGTCAGAATAGGTCACTGACGTCAAATAACCCAGGTCAACATTGTTTTTGGGAACATACTGTCTAGCGTAATCCTTGTCTCTTATTCAAGTGCAAAACTCAAAGCAGTCTAATATGATTTTGGTCACAATGACCTTCGAAAAATCAAACAAGGTCACTGACCTTAAATGATCATGTTTCCTTTTGCTTAAAACAGACATCTAGGTTCTGGGGGCACTTTGGAGACCAGTCTGGATATTGACCTTGTTTGATCTTATTTGGCCCTAAGGTCACAACAACCAACCGGCCACCCGGGCGCGTGTTTACTTAGCATGACAATATCACAGGGCTGGTGGCCGTCACCTCAGAGCCCTTGCGTTACCCTATTAGTCTGTGCTGAACAAGTTTGGTTATCTTTCAGTACCTTCTTCATAGTTCTTTTTTTCGCAGACAGCAACCACCCACTCATAAATCAGTTTTTAGACTCTAGTTCAAGGTTTCGTGGCGTGGTATATAACAGGTACAGAAAAGTACCAAGCCGTACGTCAGACTCAAAATCCAGGGTCGAAGGGTTTTGCGGGTGTCTTGTATTCGTTTTGCTCGGACTTCAACCGAAGTAATC